GTGCAAATGTCTAAATTGGTGGGGAGTGAGCTGCGTGGTTCATAATGAGTCCAGAGAGGCTTTTCTACATCATGTCTTCATCTCAAAAAATAAATGGGTTAGACAAGGCTGGGAAGTTATCTGGTTTGGCCTCGCATGGATTGTATGGCTAGCAAGAAATGGAAAAATTTTCAGACAAGAAGAAGTCACTATGGAAAGGCTTTTTGATCTTATTCAGATACGGACATTTTTCTAGATTAGAGGAAGGGTTGCTGGCTGTATGTTTTCCAGCTTGGATTGGATGCAAAACCCTGTGGTGTATTTGAAGTTTACTCAGGGTGGTAGAAAAGAAAAGGATGTGAATGCATAAGAATAGAAGTTTTTGGGTTTAAATGAACATATTTTAAAACTTTAGGGACTAAATTGCAAGAAGAAGGTGCTATCTTGTGGACCTAAATGAATGAATCTTGAGTTTTTAGATCTAAATGCTCATTTTACAAAATATGGAGGATTAGATGTGCTATTTTACCATTAAAGAAATTGCAGCAGAGGAGACACGGGTGTGGTGTCGACACATAAGTTTGGTCTCGACACCATACGGTGAGCATTCAAACTCATAGTTTCTGTTTTTGTGTTGACAAAGTGCAGGGTAAAATTTTTAACAATTTGAAGGTGCTCTTGTATTAATATATTAGGGAAGGCTGTTTGGTTCTTGCAAATTTATGTTTTTTAAGTTGAGATATTTATAGGTTTGGGATAACCTTGTATTTCACTTTTTACTAAATGTTACTTTTTGCTGTTAAAAAAAAGATAATCAATTTTAAGTTTACAAAATTTTTTTAAAAATTAAAACATGCCTAAAGATTCTATTTATATTTTGACATAGTCTGTTATTAAAGTAATTAACTTTATATTTATAAAAATTTTAAAAAATTACAACGTTCATAAATATTCTATTTATATTTAAAATAAAATGCACATTTGAATCATCAATATTTACAGTCATAAATATTCTGTTACTACAGTAATGTTAACCAGGGCACAAAGCCCAACCTGTTTCCTTGTACAATAATACAAAACAAAAGGTCCTCATTTTTGTTATTGGGCAAATACCCATCCAGAAAGTGATAGAGAAACAGAACCTAAGCCCAGCAGAAATATGTACGGCTAAGAAAATTAAAGTTGCTTTAACCTTAACCCGACACAAACTGCAGCTTACAAACCGGGAAAAACTCGTCTTGACTTTCGAGTACAGACTACAGGGAACATTTTATGAGTACATTATTTCTCAATTTAAACCGTAAACCAGAGACTTGGATGCCAAAAGGCCCAATATTCATTCAAC